TTTGGAATGAGATTGCTATCGGTTGCAATAAAGCAAGACTGCACTTGATGTGAAGTGTGTGCTGCTAATGTTGTTCAGCCTTTGAGCGTGCATAGAGAACATTTGAGAGGCTAACTGTGAGGAGCTGAAATGGAGGTAGAGCAAACCGTTTCAGAACCCGATTGCAATGACAGCCATGGAGGTGTGAGATAATTAACTAGTTTTGGGAGAGCCACTAGCAAAACTGTTTCTCAAGGAAACGCGAAATGTTGATTTTACCTGTATCCTCAGGCAGGCCAGTTTCAGTCTGATTTCTCTGTCCCCCATCTGAATTGATTTCTGTGAGGTATATGGCACATTCTTCCATCAGGAATTTGCTAGACTCCGACGTGCTTGACCATATGACTATGTTTGCCATATGGAAGTGCTTCCCTGCCAACCCCTGATCTCAGCCTATGCTTTACTGTGATTCATCTGTATGTAGCATTTACCAGAAGTTTGAGCTTACCTCCTGCATGGGTTGGGGTGGTGCATCTCTGGCTGGGGCTTCCTCCTCGAGCTCTGCCTTCACTGGAAGCCTCACACTTCTCACACCCGGCTGTGGTCCTTCCAGGGAAATGGTTATTCCTTGGAGGAGGCATGTCCTTCGGCTGTCATTCCTTCCTCTTGTGCCGGGAGCTGGGCAACAGCAAACACAGTAAGACACTTACTCTGCCCAGAGGACACCTCACACCTCCTCCTTTCTTCTGCCTTTATCCTCCTTTGAGGATCTTCTACAAAGTCACCAAGGAGGCTCATCTTGGTGAACCCTGTCCCCTCAGACCAAAACTCTTTGCCAAAGTTGATGTCTGTTTTTTTGACCCAGCTTCTCCTATTGACTAGTTTGGCTGCCCTGTCCCCTTTCTTTTTGTCTCAGTCTTCCTGATTTGGGGGGTTCAAGTACCTTCTTATCCCAAAGGCTTTATCTAACCTGAACTATTTTGCAGTTTCACAACTTTTCAGCCAGTCCTGCTGGTTTTCCATCCAGTCTGTCCTCCTGCCTCCCCAGATATCTTCAGGATTATCTCCAACCAGACTAGTACAAACACATACAGCATCTAGGATACCCAGGAGTTGGACTCGATGATCCTTATCGGTCTCTTCCAGCTCAGAAATTTTATGTCTCTATGATGCTGGGTGCCATCTGTGCCACTCTAACCAGGATCTTTCTTGTCCTTGATGCGAGGCAGCCCTTTCAAACAAATCAGTGAATGCTTCTGGGCCACTTTACTTTGCTGCCATTTTATTCCTTGGTATCTCTTCCCCCTGGAAATCCCTACTGTGGTCACTATTTCTCTGTCTGCAGGCCTAACATTTACCACCACAGCTTCTTTGCTGCATTTCCTCTTATTTTTTCTGCAATGCCACTTACATCTCCAGGCACATTTCTCTGGGTAGGACCAACTGAAATACCATTGTGTGGAGCTCTCCATGCAAGCAGTAGTGTGTTATTCAAATACGGTGCCCTTTGTTCAATGTTTCAGTAAGGTGAAAATTCAACAGTTTCAGTAAAGCAAAGCCAGCTCCAGCATCACCTGTTCCTTTTGTTCCAGGATCCTTTTTCTACAAATTGACAAATCTCTCGCTCTGTCAGGCTCATGGGTCCCAAAATTTTGCCTTCTGGCCATCTGCTTTTCCCAGAGTAATATGCCAAGGAAGGACCCAGCCTTCATTAGAAGTCCACCCAAATGTCTCCCAATTTCTCCTTCTTACCTGGCTTCTGACTGTTGCCCTACAGCTCTTGACATGTGGTTGCTGTCAGGAGTTCGTGCAGCACTGCCTTCCTGAACCCAAAGTCCCATGGTCACCTACCTCTTACCTGCCCCCCACTCACACACTTCCCAGGGGTGGCACTGGAGCCAGGCAGTCACCTTGCAAGGAGTCACATCTCTAGGGGAGAGTTTGCTGGCCCTGTTACCAACATTAAGAAACCAGTAAAGGAAGAGTCCTCTTTAAAGATAAAGCTGTATTAAAAAGTGTTGTCACAGGTATGTACCACAAACAAGACTGAATTCTCTGTCACAGGAAAATGGAACACTAACATTTACTCACTAATTTCACAAGAACTGAATGAATGCAGAAAAATAGCCAAAAAGAGCTAGTTTTCTCAGAGACAGTCTGCAGGTGAGGAAGCCCCTGCACAGCACATTACTGGTGCCTATGCGAATACTTTGGGGAAATGTTGCAATATCGTGGTCCTATTACATTCACCCCTAGGACTGCATTATTGCTGACAGTCAGGAAGGAGACACTGAGCCAGCTGGATCCTTGCCTGATCATCAGATAGTATTTTCATTCCGTATGTTACAAGGCTGTACTTACAAGCATTAAAAACTTCCAGGAAGCTCTTGGATGTACCGAGAAAGCAAAAAAGAAGTTTTGAAGATGTCTCCTAGTTAAAAGCGTGAATGGCAGAGCTGTTGATTACGCTGCCAAAACAAAACAGAAAGGGCAGGTGAAGATTTTGAAGGAAGAACCTCCTCGTGTTTGGTCATTGTAAGCTGGGAAATCATTTAGGGCCAATCTCTAGGAGTAGTTTCTCGATTTCTGGGTTCTGATATTGAGATATTAAAATTTTGAGAGTTGCTACTAATTAAAAAGTTGAGCTAATACAGAAATTGCAAGGGAATTTACAGACTTTGCAGCTGCCCCTCCCTTGTTACGTCCCTGAGACAAACTCAGACAGCAGGACCAAGGGCCTGGACAAGCAGCGCCGCAGAGACGAGCACGTTGTGGGCACAAACGAGCACTTTGTCCGACACGAACAGAATGAAAGGCAACGATGTCGAGAGGAGCCCTTTGTTGAGAGGATGAGAGGTGGCAGTTTGTGACAGCCTGACAGCCCGGGTCGCACGGCTTTGCCGGCTTAATTATCACACTGCTGCTCACGGGGAGGAGGGAGCCGCCGTGGTGATGGGGAGAGCCACAGCTCGGATGCTTTGCCAGGGTGCTAGCTGGCATCCCCAGCTACAGCTTTCCCTCCTGACTCACTGAGTGCCTCAGTGGGGAAAGCAAATCTGCTTCCTAACGAAGGGTGACTCACGCAGGCTGTTTGGCTTCCCGTTGTGATGTGGGTGGTGGAGCAGTTGGCAGCGTGTTACGGTGCACCTTTTGTGTACAAAATACCCCGTATACACGGGTGGTTTGGCTCTGCTCTTGCACAGATGTTGCTCATCAGGTGTTGCTAGAGCTCACCAGAAGAAATCAGCTTGAGGAGGATGGGTTCAGGTCATGTGTTCAGGTCCCAAGTTCAGGTATTGTCCAAGACAAGGAGGAAAACTGGAAATCGGGGTTCCCAGAGTCTGGAGCAGAGTCATGCTGTGTGCTTGAGCTCAGGGGGTGCCTCGCAGAGGACACAGCAGCCAAGGAGAGCCAAGGAGGGCCTGGCCAGCCCCCTCTGTCCCACCCATGCTTGTCAGCTCTCCTGGGGAGAGCCCCATGGCACTGGGAGGGGACAGCGGGAGGTGTGGGGCTGCCCCACTGTCTGGAGAAGGGGCTGCTGGTGCTGGCACATGGCTCTGCTATCAGCTATTTGCCTGAATTAAAGGAATTTTATTGGGTTACCGTGTTTTTCTGCACAGAGGATGCATGCGCTTGGTACTTTACCTGGGAAGAAAACCAAGAGTTCACATATCCCTGCAAGAGACCACTTGTTATGAACAAGCTTCCTTGATTGCTTCTGTGTGCTTGAGGCTGTTGTGGAGTTTTTAATTATTCTCATTTCAACAGCACCTCAACAACCCTACCACAAACAGGGCACCATTTTCCTAGCAATACGCAATGCAAAACAGCACCTTCCCCAAGCAGGTGATGATCTCAGTACGTCTCAGAGGCTAAGAGAAGTTGCAAGGGAGCAAAAGCACAATGCAACAAGGTGTTGGCACACAGGCATCCATCAGTTTCATATCCAAGTGGGGACTGGACGCGGGGTTTCCAGATAAACGAGCCCAGATCTACAACCCCTCCAAACGGCAGTGAATATCATTAGAAAGATGACAGCTAAATCTTCAGAAGAATTTGGGATGACTGCGGTGGAAATTTCCTTCCCCAACAAACCAGGCGGGGGAGAAGAGGAGATGCGTGGCGCAGGCAACAGCTCTCATTAACAACATTTCTGCCACCTTCTTCCACAAAGTTTTGACCTCAAAAAGTGAGAAGTGCCAGACACTCCTAAAATACTCCTCACATCGTGATTTTGAAGGGAGTGCTCAGACACTATGGTGACGGACAGCGCTGCAACATACCCAAGGTTGTGCTGTGAAATGAGTGGCTTTTAAATGAGGAGCCGCCGTGCGAACTGGCAATCACATCCCATTCAACATGCTGTTATTTATCTATCACCAGAACCACACATGGTGCTTAACAAACAAAGGAAAAAATAAAAGCCCCGGAGCACGAGTTTGCTAATCGTAATTAGATGTAATCAGATCGGAAGATATTTTGTCAATTATTTTTGTTGCATTGTGCCGCGTTACATTTGTAATAATATGCCAGTTTATTAAAAAGGAAAGATTTTGCAGGGAAAAATTTACATGCATGAATTTCCCATTCAACTGTGTTGAAAGCAAATGTCAATACAAGGAAACGCTGTAGCCGTCTTCTAAATGAAAACATTTGCATGTCAAATTAACCTTTTGCTCTTATGTGTGAGCTTTAACTTACGTTAAAAATACACCATCAGTTTTAGCACAGAAGCCAATGACAGGCTGCAGAATAATCGCAAGGGAGTGTCTTGAAATTTTCTCTCTTTGTAAACTTTAAGGATTTCTGTTTCTCCCCCTGCTTTGCTGTACAACGCATCCTGTAAACTGCTTAGTGCTGGAATTTTTCTGACAGCGACAGTGGAGCATGAAACCACATCAGGAGTGGGGGTCAGGCTGGTGCTCGGCGGCAGGAGAGAATCGCATAGCCCTAGAAACGCAGACAGGTTACAGACAGCACAGGTTGGGAGCAAGCCAGGCAGAATATAAGAAGCATCTCACCTCGTGAGTGTCTCAGGGAAGGAGACCAAAGGAGCCCCGAGGCCGGGTGAATTGATGGGGCTTGGGGGGAGGCAGGCGGCAGGGGAGCAGGGCACGATGCAGAGTGTGGCGGAGGAAATGGCTGAGCCCAGAAAGGATTCGCTGTAGGGAAATGTCAGCATGAATATTTCATATGTTGACCCTTTTTGTAGCTTCAGCGTCTTAAAAGGCAGCGGCTGTAATTGACGGTAGACTCCGGGTAGGTAATTCCTATCCCAGCAGACTGACATGTATTACCCCAAAAATGCAGCTCGTGGCTGTGTGCTGCAAGGTGACACGCCTTGCCACACGGATTCACTGAAGAAGTATCATCATCATCTGCCTGAACCTTAATTTCCTATGGACTATCGCTCGTATGCTTTTTTTCTGTCTAGCTAACATTGCAGTTTCATACCAAAGGGCACAGGAAGGTATAATAAGACTCGGTAGATGCAGGCTGAAACCAGACAGGTTCAGACTACAAATTAGGTAAGGCATTTTTGCCTATCAGTGAAGGTAAGTAAACATTAACGAGAGCTGAAGTGGGTTTTCCACAATTGGAAAGCTTAGCCTTGTAATCGGCTGCTTTTCCAGCACCAAACACTGCTAACAAATTGTGCGCAGGAATTAAGAGAGGGGCATTCTTTGGTCTGTGCCCCCTCCGAGACCAGACCAGTCCCTTCTGGCCTAGGTTGCTGATTACCCTACAGCAAACTCTCCTGCCCTCAATAGGAGGACATTTGTGAACTGAAAGCTAACTGCGTGTGCCTCAGGTTCCAGCAAAACCCTTTTATACTAAAAGCTATTTGCCTGGCTACGGCCTCTATAAAAGATCATCCTGGGTATAGGTTATGCATCGGAGCCCCGTAAATCATATACCCTCTGGTAGTTGATGCGGTGTCTAATGGACTCCTCTAGTGCAGAAGTGAAAACTATGCATGCTGTGGGAAGCTTTATGCCCAGACCTAGGTCAGTACGGCTTCTTTTCCATGTTTTGAGGTCTCAGTCCCTGCTGGCCTTACCCATAAAATCTCTGGAGCACAGCGCCCATCTGCCTGCACCCAGGGCTCCAGGAGGGTGCCAGCACCTCCTGGTTTTGGAGTGGAGGACTGGGGCTCCTGCCACTCTCTAGGCTGACCCTGCCCGAGCCTTTCTCTGTTGGAGAAGATCTTTGGTGAGGACCTGTTGCCAAGACTGGGCTCATGCCACCCCAGGCAGGATGTTCATGTGCCAGAGGCTCCTAAGCCGAGCTCTGCATGCCCTGAGAGTGCGGAGCCCTCTTTGTGAAGGGCTGGGCAGAGAGACTCATCCAGCTGCCCCTTCAGCTGCCCTGGAAGAGAGGGGTTTGCCAGGCCACCTGTGCCATGAAGCAGGCCTTGTTAACCACAAGCAAGGCTGTGTGCTCTTCCCACCCACCAGCCACCCAGCAGGCCCTAAAGGAAGCACAGAGACAAATCACAGAATCATAAAGCACCGAAGGACCTGGAGATCACTCTTGTTGCTGAAAGTGCTTTCCTGGATCAAAGCCCTTGGACTAGAGACTTCTTCATCAAATAGTAAGATATGCTGGTCTCATGTGGCACTCCACACCAACCTGCACAGCCTGTTTCTCTTTTAGGGCTAGAATGAGAAGCCAATATGTATCAGGTAGGAGATGGAAAAATAAATCCCAAAGTTTACCTTTGCTTTGCTTTGGTTTCTTCTGTTGTCATCAAAGGAAAGCTGTTCCAGGGGAATTTAAATATTAATATGGGCTAAAATGGAGGATAAACTAAAAAACACAAGGAAAACATTTTACTAATCTATAAACTAGACAGAGCAAACTGCCAGCTGGGAATAATGCTAAGTGGGCACTTTAAGTTACTCTGTGGAATGTGAGTTTGATCAATTCACTCCAAGCCACATTAGTCTCATAAAAGCTGAGAGTAGCATTTTCTCCCAAGGGTTTTCTTTGAGGGATAAGCCTCTCCGAGTGCAGCATCACAGAGGCAATTAAGGATGATAATGTTTTTTGCATATAGTAAGGTACTGATGAGTCAACATTGATCAAGACATGCTTTCATCATTTTTTAAATGCACTTCCAAGTTCACAGTATAGTTGTTACTGAGCTGACAGGAGCAGTAATGAGTAGTTAATATTATTGTAGCATGACCCCGTGGACTATTTTTGACAAGCAAATACCTTCCAGGACACCAGTAGGGAAAAACAGGGTTCGCATTCATCGTGTGCACTCTTATTCAGGTGGAAAAGAAAGTGCTTGGATATGTTATGAGACTTTCTAGCATCATTGGCACACTCTTACTCTTCCCTCCCAGATTAATTGGCATTAATGTTCCCAGGTCTCAGTGATGGCTGCAGACTCATTACAGGTGCTGCTTTGTTTGTATATCATTACTGTTCCACAAGCATGTAATTTATTGCCTAGAAAGGATTTCTGGATATTTTCCCAGCTGTAAAATCACAGAGCCTTGTATTTTGTGCTCCGGTTGACAACAACCCTACCTGCATACATTTTCTCTCTCTCTCTCACATACACACACTTGACTTTGAACTCTGACATTTATCTCATGACACAAATTCCTTCAATTAACCAACACAATGCATTAGGATAATTGTTAGTCCCAGCCTGAATTCTCTTTTGGAATAGCAAAGCAGAGTTGTAGTAATGTTGTCATAGTTCATTTTGTATATATATTTTGCAGCTAGGCATTTCAAGAGTTATTGGTGAACGTCTTGCTATGGTAATGGTCTTACTTCAAGGTTATTTATCTGAAAAGGTGTCTAGTCTCTGTAAAAACTGTACTCGACTCGGTGCCTCCTGCACAACATGACACATCACCTTCCCCTCTGAAGTTATCATCATGCCTTCCCTATATAAATTTTCAGTCCATTAGGGCAATGCAAGACTTAAAGCAAGTGAAATTATACATTCAGGGGTGTGCTTGAAAGTGCAGGGCCATAAAATGGAAACAGAAAAAAAAAAAGCATGATCAGAAGCCTTATAGTTCTAGGCTCATTTGCTTATTTGAGACTTTCTCATCCTTTAGACACCAATCTGCAATATGACCCAATATAGGCTAAAGTTTAGGAAACCCATGGCACCACCGAGAAACATGCAGTCCAGAGGAGAGTGAAACTCCCACCATGTTCCTAACAATCCTGTCTAACTTCCCAGAGAGAATTTTTTTTCCTCCTTAAATATGAAGGGACACTGAAGGATCTGGGAATGTGACCGAGCATCACTGGATCACAAGGTAGGACTTCCATCAGCAACATTGCCCGGTGGCTGGTCCTAAATGGTCAAGAAATCATTCTTCAGTTTCTGGAGCAAAGATTTTTAGAGCAGTGGAGTTCCCATGTCTCCTGTCCTAACTCATGGCAAGGAGAGCCTCCAGGCTCATTGCAAGAGGTCTCCAGGGCTGTGTCTCTTCACCATGTTGATCCCTGCTGCAGCAAACAGAACAGGGAAATTCCTTTAATTAAATGATCGTCCACACTCAGGTCCACTGGGTGTTAGTGAATTACAGCTGTTTTAACACTAAAATGATGTTTTATCAGTTGTTCTCATCAGTCTTTTCTAGACAATCCAGCACTGTTTCACATGGAAAGGGCAATGGAGCTACGTGGTCAGAGTGACTTATTCTAGACGTGGCGTATTCACACCCCTAGCAGTAATTAACACTCCCTCGGAAAGCACGGAGGGCTGGGAGCCTTCCCATTGCTCTGGATAACAGCCTTAGTCACACTTTGCAGCACTGAGCCATTTCCACGCATTTACCCGTGGCAAATCGCTTGTTTCTGGGTGATTCACAGCCACGGCTGCTTCCCGTCCTCCCGGGGGCTTTCTGCAGCACGAGGCTTCCCACAGGCTCGGCAAGACCCGTGCCCGAAGCGGGCTGTCATCGGCATCCAGCCCTGGTTCTTTTCTGGCCAGAGCAGGACAACGGGTGCTCCTCCACGAGCAGATTAGCCTGACCCTGCAGAGCACCGTGTCTCTCTGAAGGGATGCTGTCAGGAAGAAAAAGGCAGGTCAGAGCCTCGGCGGGAGCAAATTAGCCCAGCTGCCTCAGCCGCGCCGCGGTCGCGGTCGGTGGGGCCGTGCCAGCTGATGTTGGCCCAGGAGCTGACCCCGTCTGTCTAGGAAACCCAGCGTGAATCTGGGGCTGGAACAGTGCTTGAGAAGGGATTACCGAAATCAAAAGGAGCGCGGGGGTTTTGCTCACTTCTCACCACTCGGGCTGTTTCCCATCCGCTGCTGGAGCGCTGGGGCTGGGCTGTTGTGAATGCGTTTTTGGCACTCTCGGGGTTGCAACATGTTGTGATGCGGTTTTCATACTAAGATTAGAGGAAGCTGCAAAAAGCTTCCCAAGCATGCCAAAAGCCTGTTATGTGTGAGGCTGTATCCCATCCCTTCCATCTTCAGGTGATAGGAGCTGACACCTGGGAAGCAGCGAGAGCAGAATTTGCCACCCTGTGTTACCCCAGGCCCCTGGCACCCCTGGAGCCCCAGGAGAAAGTGATGCTGCCACAGCTCTTTTTTTTTTTTTTTTTTTTTTTTGGTCACTCAAGCCTTAAATAAAAGGTCCAGCTAGCTGGAGCCTGTTGCTTCAAGCACAGCTTCATTTGCTGGGGTTTTGACAGAGCTCAAGCAGGATTTCTCTAGCTTTCGTGGGTTGTGGCTAAACTTCTTGCACAGTTTGTCCTTCAGGAGTTCCCAGATGTCTCAGCTGCCACCTCCCTGGCATACATTTCAGGGGAAGAAAGATGTAAAAGAAGCTGTCACACATCTGATCGGATTTTGTCTTCTTGCAGTGTTATAATACTGTTGGTAAATTCAGAAGAAAATTGGCATCAGCTCATTTTCTTCCCAAGAACCAGGACAGATCCCATTTTGATTCCCTGGGTGATCTGCAAACTTGGTGGGTGGGTGGCTTCTATGCTTTTGTCCACAGTTTTGACCTTTTCATATCCATTTTACCTCCAGAACCTCGAAAGTTTCCCAGATGCTACCTTTGCTTCCTTGCTGCTGGCAGCTGGTGCTGGCGATCACGTTTAAATGGCAGCCTTCTGAGTAATGCTTCTTGCTCAGGGATCCAGTTGCCAAAGGCCTTGTTTTATTAATTCTGTGGGAAATCATCTTGATCATTTGCCCAGATCTGTTTGGTACTTAAACTGGGAAATCGATTTTAATGGGATTTAAGGTATGCATATATAATTCATATATATATATATGACACATCGTGTGTCTCCAAATCTATCAGATTCCCGGACAAGTTAAATCAGGCCCATTAGTCTGTGGCTAACACTTGGCCTGATAAAGTAGACATCGTGCAGTTGTGAAACAGCCCAGGGAACGAAGTGCTTGGTGCCCCTGGGCTCACCAAGGACCCTACAGGATAGGCTTGTCCCATTGCATTTGGCCAAACATTCTTCTCCTCACTTTTATTACCCACATATTTGGGCCTTGAGCTGCTGGGATTAGCAACCACCCTCTGCTCCACTTGTGGCACTGCCCAGCATGACCCAGACCTGATGTCTGGCAGGAGATCTTATAGAAATCTTCCCTAATTTCCATGCTGCCTGGCTGAGAAGCTGTGGCTGCCCTTTAAGGTAGTTCAGGATGAGAGATGCTGGCAAACTAAGATTGCACTTGTACACAGCACAACTGAGAGGGCTTAGTCAGGGGAAGGCACCCAGCTACAGTCGTAATTATTTTCTGTTATCTCTGTAGTCTTTGTGCTTGCAGGCTCTCCTGGGTTCCACGGTCACTTTAGTCTGTATGTGCTTCCTCCTCAGACATGATCAGCAGGAACACATCTTTTTTTGGAAGTGGTAATCTGGTTAGAGCAAGAAGGCAGGCAGATGCACACGGGTTTTCTTTTATCGGTAGCTTTTGAAGTGATCAGTCACAGTTTTCCTAAGACTGTCTCAAACAAGCATCAGTCCCACTGTTAATAATCTGATTTCAAGGTGAGCTCATGGGCATGGCAAGTCCCCAGCACAGTAATTATTTGGGGTGCTTAGAAGCAATGAGAGCTCCTCATAGAATACTAATTATAGCAGAAAGGTTTTTAATGATTACTTTCTGTTCAAAGACAGAA